ACTTAAAAAATTTTAACTTAGCACTGAGGATGAAAAAGAGGCAAATTTCCTTTTCTCTAGGTTCATAGGCAAGAGGCCATGCAGGCATCTATTGAAAGACATTGGGTGCTCTTTGTGATTATGAGGTCATTTCTTTCTCATGATCTTTACCACATTTGGTGGTACCTTATTCTTTCAGCAACTAATAGCAATGTGTGTATATGTGTATGTATGTGTATATGTGTGTGTATAAACTGAAGACATATTTCCTGCTCACAAGATGTCTGCAGTTCATTTTTAAAAGGTCTAAGTACTTTAAGTCTTTTGCTGCATGATGGTAACAGTGGGAAGATTCATTTATATTTACTCATCAAGATCTCATTAAAAAATTAGAAGTTTCACCTTTACATTTGCACAAGAAGCATTTAAACATTCATGATTTTGATAGAAATATAAACGTGGTAATAATCAAGCTCAAATTTGTTATGCTTCTTTTCTGTTTGGGGTATTGGTTATAGTAGTTGTTATAAAACTCAAGAGATGAAAGTGATCAAAATTATTCTTGCTATTAGAATGTGCTTAAAAGATAGTAAAGCCAGACCAGAGCTTCTATAATTAATAAGTCCTTTTGAGTCACTTGAATTAATAGCTACAGAAATGAGCAGTAAAAATAAGGTCTGAGTAAGCTTTCTCCTTGTAAGATGCTCTAGCAGTGGGGGCTGGGTTAAGATTTTGATGAAAGATGGCTTTTTTAATATCATAAGTAGGAGGGCCTGAGCTGTGACATTTATGAGGCTTTATTGTGTTTGATTTATACAACATGCCTATTCAGCTAAATAAGAACCATGTCTTCTTTCCTCTTGTGTTCTCAGAGAGTGTAGAAAAATTATAAGAGGATTACTATCTAGCTCTTACCTAAATTGAAATACTAGACATGATACTAATCTGTTATCACTTAGGTTGGAAATTTTCTCTCTGGCTTATTAACCCTTAAAGCACAAGTGGTTTGCTACAACTACAATAGACCAATACTCTGTTTATTTCAGTTGATAAACATGTACAGAATTCACTGGTATTAACTTTTATACCCAAATCTTATGAATTACAGTAATTTTATTCTTTATCACCCTCTGTTTTACAGATACTTCAAGTTCTTATAAAACATCTTCTGCAAAGTAAAAAAATTACTTTGTCCATATACTATTCATTTGAAGTATCTTCTACCCCAAATCCTTTCTTGGCAGTTGTATCCCACATTATCTCTTTTTCTGAATTGTTCTCAGATGTATGTAATTGCATCCTTAGTTTAGCACTCACTTAAACTCCTAAGACTCTGAAACTTAACAGATTCCTTCTTTTATTGATGTCCTAGGAAAAGCACTCTTACTGATATCCACTACACTGATGTTTCAGAAGCATTTTTTAATCCCTGCACTTGGGAAGTTCATTGAACTGATTAAGAGATATACTTTGGTCTATCAATGGAAAAGGTTTGCCACAGCTGATTCTGTGTGCAGGTGCTAAAGGAATAATATATTTTATTCAGTGGGCATACTCCACTAGCAGAAACAAGAAAAATAAAATAATACCAGTTCCCAGTACATGGATGTCATTATGACGTGAGTCCCCAAGCCAAGCAGTGTCTTACACAAAGCAGCTGTCTACGTGAGGAAAGGGGACTGAAATAGAGCAGTCCTGTGGACTAAGAATGGACGACTTTGAAATACATGTTGCAGAACATGTACATGGTACAACTGTTGAATATTGTAAGGTTATGAGTCCTGGGATATATACTAAAAGTCTGATACTCTATAAAGTGTATCAGCTCTTTAGGGAGGGGAAAAGGTAGTAACATTATCTGTTTAAGAAGGCAGATAAGAGCCAGACGCTGTTGGCTCACACTTGTAAACCTAGCTACTTGGGAGGCTGAGATCTGAGGATCACAATTTGAAGCCAGCCTGGGCAGGAAGTCTGTGACACTCTTATCTCCAATTAATCACAGAAAAAGCCAGAAGTGGCTCAAGGGGTTGCGTACTAGCCTTGAAGTCCCAGGCCTCAGGACCAGCCAAAAAAAAAAAAAAAAAGAAGCAAATAATTGGTCATGTTTGATTTTTATAAAACTTTGTTTTATAAAACAAAACTTCTCAAAACAGATAAATTAAACATATTATAGAATATTGAAATAGTTATGAGGACATATGGTACAGCGTTTAAACATTTCTGATCTTAAGACAGCTTAGATTCAGATCCTATTCTATTGTTCTAGTGACTGTAACATGGAACAAAGCACCCTAATCTCCCTATACCTCAGTTTCCTTTTTTAAAAATGAAAAAAAAATAGTGCCTGTGATTGGAAGAAGTAAATGAAATAATCTGTGCAAAATAATATAATTCCCTGTAAAGCAGATTGTGAAATATTAGTAATGGAAAGTGGCATTGTTAATTATTTTTCATGATTCTGGATTATTCAAGTGCAACATAGCAATAAACAGTTGTTTCTGGAAGTAAGTATTATGGAAATACCTCTATTTCCATTAGGCCTCAAAGCTAATCCTTACAATCCTACTCAAAGGTAAGAAAAGATAGATACTAAGTTTGCATTGAGCTATTTGGTCTTGAATAATTATTTTCAATCACATATTTACTAAGCGACTATCACATGAATTGATGACAAATCATTATTCAAGTTATATCTGTAGATTTATGACAGATCACTAAGGAAGAGTTAAGACATGTTATAGGATAGTTAAGTTGATGTTAGGACAATAACAGTTGGGACAATAACATCTTTTTTAATTGATCTAGGAACATATCTATCTCTTACTTAAAGGCTTAAAATTTTGTAGGTCTAATGTACATGATACAGAATTACTGTATTTCACTTCATCATACAGAGAATAATCATCTCTCCCTTTTTCACAGTTCTCTAATAAGAGAGAACTATTTTGTTTTCCTAGCTTATGATATTTTTACTTCCTAAATTTTACAAGGAGGTTTTTTAGATAGCACAAGTGTTATGACTTCTTTAATCTTGTCTAATGGAAAATGGTAGATTGTAACATCAGAGGACCAGAACCCAACTGTAGTAAAACACTGGCAAGAGTTTGAGATTATTAATAAAATCTCTGGAGAGGGGCATGCTGAAGTTTCATCATAAACCAATAACTCCACAACTGCCTCTTGAGGTGTTATTACCAATCCAATCCCTTCAGTTTCTTAGTTCTTCTAATTATTTTTTATGATATGGGATATGTTTAATTGATTTTTCCACTGACACAATATTTTTAAATAAGTTATTTCATAGAAATTAATTTTACTCCTACATCTTCCGTGGAAGATGTTGGAGCATACCAGCAGAGTAGCTTTTCTTCTGCTAAAGTACCAGAGGGGAAAGAATTTACTATATGATTTACTGTCTTTCCTTCAGTTAATTATCTAAGTTACTAAAGTATGTAGCTCTTGATTACCTAATCAGTCCCCCCAAACAATAAGGAATCTCTGGAAATCCAACTGGCAAGAATCATTTACAACTGCCACGAATGCCAGCCAACACATTCTAAAAATAGCTTAGAAGTATCCTGATTAAAGTCATTGTGCTGGAAAATACTTTCATTATCTTAGAAGACTCAAAGTTTTAGAAAACTCAGTTCTGATGAAAAAGTTGAGAGATGAAGGGAGAGAGGAAGAGAGCCCTATTATCAATTTTTGTGTGTGTGTACACAGCCTTTGTGCTTTACAGAATAATTTCAAGAATTATATTTGATGCATAAACAAAATATATTTTAATGTTATATATATGTTATATATATAGATATAGATATAGATCTATATATAGATCTATATCTATATATAAGATGGGCACGGGCCCATCTTAGTCTACTTGTAAATACTGCAATTGATTGCTTATAGTCAGCAGTCAATTTAACCTATAGCCATTTAATGTGATTTCTAGTCTTAAATCATCTTAAACATAATCCACAAATTTAGTTTATTATTAAATCTAATTTTGAATAAATTAGTTTTCTTGGTATACTTTTGAAATTTATACAATAACAACAACTACTACTAAGTAGTAATGATATTGAAAATAATAAAGGTTTGAAAAGAAAATCAGTACCATCTCTTTATTTCTTTTGGTGGTACTGGGGATTGAAATCACAGGGTCTTGTGTCTGTTAAACAGGCACTCTACCACTTGGGTCTAACCTTTAAGATTACTTAGATGACTAACTCTCGTTTCTTGCATGGGGAGCAGGAAATGTTTCTCTTTTTCTGTTTCTCTGTATTGTAAACTTGCTATACTAAAAATAATTCTTCTAAAACTTATTGGGGAGAATAGCGCAATGTGGAGTATAGAGATGACTTTTTAATACTAACAAAAAACCCCTTTGAGTGCCAGACACAGGAATCTAGAATTTTTCCAGTTTAGCTATTGGGAAGTGGTATTGTTCCCACTCTCATATGGGTTTGGAGTATTGTCTATAATGCTATTAGGTAGTTCTCCGCCTAGCTTCAGAGAGCTTCTCCACATGCTTTTAAATACTTCACAGGAACTGACAGTCTCTGGATTTTGGGGGCTTTTTTTTTGTCTCCTCCTCTGCCCCCCTGAAGAAGTACTGCCCTCTCTGGCCTTCTGCTTTGGCATTCTAACATCATTCTCTCTTTAGACTTTTCACTAGAACCTTCATTCAGAGATTCTTCTCCATACCCTCTATCTTTTAGACTCTTGCCAAACAGAAACCTAGAGGATTCCTCCTCTGTCTTTCATTCCTCATGGATTGCTGTCCTTGACACTGATGATGGTTGCACAACATTGTGAGTGTACTTAATACCATTGGATTGGATATTTAAAAATGGCTAAGATGATACATTTTGCTATGTATATTATGCCATAGAATATGTATATTATGCTAATATATACATGTGATTATTCTATTCTATAACAGGTACCTAGGTAAATAGTTCACATTTCAGAACCTAAGCATTCTGAGCAGACATTCAAGTGCTCTCCTTCTTCCCCAGGAGTGACACATGCGGCCATCTGGGCAGCATGCATTTCTTACCTCAGTGCTGCTGTTCCCCCTGAGCTGAGGACATCTGCCCAGGGCATCCTGCAGGGCCTTCACCTGGGTCTGGGGAGAGGTTGTGGTGCCATGATCGGAGGCGTGTTAGTCAATTACTTTGGTAAGAATGGCTTTTTCTTTTTCCTTCGGTAAAAACATGTTTGGTTTTGAGCAATACCTTAATAAGCATTGAAATTATTACTAAAGACTGCCAGAAACTAAACTTTAGTATATGTATTCTTTCTGGATTTCATGGTAGTCATATTTGTAAAGCATATATTTAGGTTTTTAAGATTACAGCCAATTAAAAAGCTACAATCAACTCACAACTGTACAACTTGTGACAGTAAACAAATACTTCACAGGAGCTCAACAGATAATATACTTGTGTGCTTTGGGTTTCAAGTAAGGTACTCCAAGCCTGCTGGTAATAATGTGGAAAAGAAAAGGAATTCATCACTCTTATCTGATACCATCAGGAGACTTTGAACCAGAAAAATATAACTGTTCACTGATGTTGTTCATGCCATTACATCTGTGTAACACAGCCTGCAACATCAGACTTCCTTTATTGGAAATACAGAGCTAAGGTGGAACATTATTCTGCTCTGGGGTTCTTGACTACTTTGTCATCTGCTCTGGGAATTTATAGCATGACTTAAGCTCTGTTGTTTCAACTATAGCTGAATCTGGCTGTTTGTTCCTAGGTGGGTAAGTGTGATTGAATATTACATGTCATGATGGAAGGCACTTAGGGATGGCCCTTTATACATACAGTTTTATAAACTTAACAGCCTCAGAACCAAAACCAGCACCAGGGTCTCCTGCCATCCATTTCCCCATGATCTGGAGCTAATGGAAGGTGCTTTTCTCTGTGCTTCCTTTGGCAAGAACTTTAGAAGACTGAGTTATAGATGAAGTTCTTTATATTTCCTGGAATGACTCTGCAGAGAACTCTGTTTGTTTTCAAAGGGGCTGCTGCAACCTTCCGAGGAATTGGCATGGCCTGCCTGGTGATCCTCCTGCTGTTCGCCTTGATCCAGTGGCTGGCAGTGCCAGATGAAGAAGAAGGTAAATTCCCATTCTTTCTCAATGACTCAAGCTACGGGAATTCAGCCCCCTAACCACCCCACCCCACCCAACCCCCAAAAGCCCTGTAAGTAGTAACTATGTCCCACAGGCCCGCCTAGTGAGATTTTCTGATGTATGCCAATGAACTCATATACCAGCTAGAGAGAAGCCATCTACAATGCTGAAGAAAAATATTAGTTATATTGAATAGTAGTTTGAAATTTTCTTTTTTTGTTTTGTTTCTCAGTGCAAGCTACTAGAGAGGCTCTGGGTTTAAACTCCTATGGTATTCTGAAGGGGGTTCAATTGTAAGTCGCATACATATAAAGATAATAGTAATTTTACTGCTAGGAATAGCAGTGGTGTTATTAATCTCGATGCCTTTACCCTCCCTCAAAAAAGAAAGTCTAAACCTGAAACTTCAAGTTTCCCCTGAACCAAGTATGGCCTTTATTAAATCCCGCATATAAACTGGTGCCAGGGACTCAGCCCTGGAATCCTAGCTACTCAGAAGGCAGAGATCTGAGGATTGTAGTTAAAAGCCAGCCCAGTCAGGAACGTCCATGATATGCTTATCTCTGATTAATGACCAAAAAGCCAGAAGTGGAGATGAGACTCAAGTGGTAGAGCACTAGCCTTGAGCAAAATATAGCTCAGGGACAGCCCCGGGGCCCTGAGTTCAAGCCCCAGGACAAAAACAAAAACAAAACAACCCCTACTATGCAAAGGGGAGGTTATATAAAACGTAACGTGTAGGCGAGAATAAGTTACATCAGCTTTTTAATGGAAAAGACTGACCAGCAAAATACCGTGTTCTTGTTCAGCAATTTGGTCCCATCATAGGACTTGTCTTCTTCAGGTGTCCTGTTCTCTCAGGAGCACCAATCTCAAGTACCTGAAGTGCTTCTGTTAAAGAGAAAAACTTGCTGTTACAGAAGCCTCTATGAAAGATTTTAACTGCATTGAGTACCTCAGGAAACATGACCAATACTAGTTTTTCTCATTTTCAGCCTCCCAAGTAGATGGGATTACAGGAGTGCATCACCACACATCAGGCCTTTGGTTTGCTTCTTTTAACCTTTGTATAAATGTGTAAAAAAAAAACCTCTGGAAAATATTATCCAAATTTTCTCCTCAGATAAGACAATGTTGGCGGAAAGGATTCCTGTTCCCTCCAGTCCTGTTCCCATAGCAACCATTGACTTGGTACAGCAACAGACAGAAGATGTCATGCCGCGCACTGAGCCCAGGCTTCCACCCAAGAAAACCAAGCACCAGGAAGAACAAGAGGATGTGAACAAACCAGCCTGGGGGGTCAGCTCCTCTCCCTGGGTGACCTTTGTCTACGCACTCTATCAAGTTAAAGAGTTGATACAACTGACCAGAGACAACCGTGCTTCTGAGATACAGCCTTTGCAGGTAACCCTCAGCTGGGCTAAGATGTTACCTTCACTTGCTTGTCTTTTATTCATCAAGATTTATTGAAGGCCTAGAGGGAAAAAATAGACATGCAAACAAATAACTGTTTATAATAACTGTGTTCTAAGAGTGTTTGCAGGATCCCATAGAGGAAAAATTTTATCTCTTGGAGTTCAGGAAACTACAAAGGTGTTGACAATTCTTGAAAGGAATAAATCATTCCAGCTTTGCATGTGTCTTTTAAAAAATTATTAAGGGGTATACCAAAGGGTTATAATTCTGTAAGTCAGGTTATGAATACAACTGCATACCTACTTTTAAATTTCAGTGTAGATGTGTACCAGCTGCAGCAAGAATGTGTAGTTCTTGCTCTTGGAGGCCATATTTATCTCTATAATTCCACTACTCCAGTGGGAGATTATGTATAGGAGGAATGCAATAAGTATCTCTTAAATTAACTAACAACTTAGCCACTGTATGGATCTGATGGGACACCTAATTCAGTGAACATTTGCAATAGCCTTACCTGAAAAACAAGTGTTCCCAGAGGGGTGTTCTTCCAAAGTCAAGTCAAACCACACTGACTCACTTAGAATTGTGTAATAACTACATCCTAACTTTGGATAATGAGTGACTTTTTGAGCAGTTTGACAAAAAGAATCAATCTGCTTCCCCCTTTATTAGTTTCTGTCTTTTGCTTGATAGGCCATGTCAGCTTTATATTTAAGTAGTTTTAGAGCATCCAAAATTTTATAAGAGAGGAAGGAAGAATTTAAAATAAAAAGTAATTTTGTATTCAACTATTGGAAATGGCGTTCCCTAAATCAGAATCAATCATTGTTTAAAGCATGTTTCTTAACATAAAATGAATATGGCATTTTATAAAAATGCACTGGACTGTGTATACTCAGTCACTTACCATTGATTACCTAAGTGCTTGCTTATACTTGCTGTTCTTTGTGACATGTATGACTTGTGAAATCACAAGAATACATTAGGACTGTTAGAGGACATTTCTTTTCATAGCTGTCTCTAAGGCTGGGAATCAATTTCTTACTTACTTACTAATGGAATGACTTCTCGCTCTTGTATTGTGAAGTCTTAGCAAGTAGCCTAGTTTGCCCCAAGGCCCTTGTATAGTGACTTGCAAAATGGGTAAAACAGCTCAGTAACTATTTCCTGTGTTTATCTAGCAGTAACAGACATTTTGATAATAATTTTCTTTAATGCACAAAACATGTCTGCTTATAGTGTTTATGTTTTTCATGCGGCTCTGGCAGTTGCACTTAGGAAAGGAGATGAAAGGTAAGACATTCAACTCGTACTCCTCTGTTCCTTTGTCCCTGAAATGAGCACTTCAGGATGATCTCCCCATGTCTGCTGGCTTGCTTAAATACACACGTGGGTTGGATTTACTTGCTTTCTCTCACCCTGGGGCATCTGTTTTCCTTCCAGGGGATCAGTGAGAATCGGGAAACTTCTCCAACTGGTGAAGCCCAGCATGTCCCACGTGAAACTCACTCCGACCCACCTAGGAACCAGCCATCCCCTGACACAGCAGCATCTCAGACGCAGACCAGCCCTGCTCCCCGCAGTGGGGCCCCTGGAGTGGAGGCAGGTGAGGAACAGCGGGCTCAGACTGCCACTGCAGGACCCTGAGAACAGCCTCCTCATCTCTCACCTTGCATGGACTGGGCTCCTCCTGTGGGACACCAGAAAGCGCAGCCCCCAACCCAGAACATGCCTCTCCATACACTCTAAATAGCTAAACTCATCATCATGGAAACACAACACACATGTGAGCTACAGTACATGTAGGCAGGAAAAGGGAAGTTTCCACAGTTCCACTGGAGTTAAGGGAAGCAGCATTTAGGAAGGGCTCTGAGTTCTTTGAGTTATAGCAACGTGCAGGTGCGGGAAAGGTAGAAGCCACAGTTTACACTAAGTAGAGGGAACCAGAGGATTTCATGGTGGAGACTGGTATAATTTCCCTCTTCTGATTATTTATTCTGATTATTGGGTTCTCAATACAAACTGGGAAGAGTACATGTATAATTTTGTGTCTGTTGAAAGGAACCATTTAAAACTTGTAAGATATATTTAAAAAGTAGCCAGATAAGTTAGCAGTACATATGCTTTTTTAAGTTAAAAACTTCACAATAAATTTTACATATCTCTAGCAAATGTATTTTTATATATGTATGGTATGTAATGAAACCAGTCAACTCTAGGAGCAAAAAAAAGCTGTTACTGACTACTGCAAGCTAAGTTGAGCTTTCAAGCTTAAGTTGGGTTTTAAGAATGACCAGAAATGGGGGAATATTTCAGAGAAAACAACTCAATATCCTGTGGCTTGATTGACAAGGTTTTGTTCAGCATATTGACATTACAAATAGCCTCTATCACTGCTTAATATTTTGTAGTGATTTGGGCTCTAATTAGCTGATGAAATAAAACAAGCAAAAACCACTGAATTCCTAAGGGTTCTTTAAGCAGTACTATTTACAAAGAACAGTATAAGACATAAGTGCCTGGGGGAAGGGATATAATTTTTAAAAATTACATAGTAAGTCAGTTTTGTTTGTGAGGTGGTAAGTAGGAAACTGGAATGGAAAGGATGTGAATAGAGTACTTTCTAATGACTAAACGAATGAATCTTGGTATGGTCTTGCCCAAGAAGAGTCAGACATTGGAGAATTGGGATTTGGGTATACAACTATATATTACCACCGCCATAGAAAGTGGCTGGTGAATCACACAATGTTTGCTGCTAAAAAAATGAAAGTGGAGGTTAGTAGGAAGCCTCAGGGAGGGCTGTGGAAAGGGAATACTGCTTTAGCTGAATGAAGATCAGTTCTATCCTACATAACAGCCGTGGCTGAGCACAGGAAAGAGCAAAGATAGAACTAAGCAACTCATTTAAATTCACATTTTGATTAAACAGGATTAGTGTAAACTGAGGGCTTCTCCACAACAGTTCTGCGTGTGGGAGAAGAAATTCTACATTTGGAGTCTAGCTTCACCACAAAACACAGCTTAAAGTAAGTGAAAGAAAAAGAACTAAGCAGACAGTTATTTTTGCACTTGAACTGAATCGTACTGTACTGTAAATTATCATGACTCATTTTTAAGTGACCTTTCAGATCAGATGTATTTATTATGCTTGTGTAATTATAGAAACAAAGAAGTGGGTGACAGGCTGAACCTCACCTATGAATGTACAGTATGTGGATTTGTGAACCTGACTGTAGGAAGTCAAAAACTTGTTTCTTGTGTTTACAGTTCTTATTCTTTTAAAAAGCCTGCTGTTTTGGAAATGCACAAGTGGACATGTTGAATTAGAAATAAATATGATTTTTAAATATTTAAGGGATGAAGATGTGACCAAACAAGTAAACGTCCTTTACTCTGTAATGAATGAGACCAAATTCAACATGCCTTTGTTAAGAAATGTTTACTGTGAGCGTTGATCCAATAATGCAGAAATGTCCAGCCTTTTGAGCTGACACCCTTATGTTTGTGGACTTTGTGACTTTTTCTTCCTGCCCTCAAAGTGCCATATGCCACTTTAAAAATATATATATATTAAAGTGAATTCAAATTAAAAATTGATTTGGGAATTTTATAGTCCCTCTTGGGATCACTAGAAATACTCAGGGGTGTCAAAAAGCCCAGGATGGTAATCACTGCCTTCCTAACTTTGCTTTCTGCCGTTTCACCTATGATCATAAAAACAATTACCCCAAGTGCTGAATTTGTGCAGATCCAAAGAGGTTAACTGCTAATTATTAAGCTATTCCTTAAAGCCTTAAGCAAAATAAGAACTATAATACATCTCAGTAGGCAATATACCTCTGAAAAAGCCTAAGAAATTCATTGGAAGAAGAGTGTTGCTTTACTTAGCCTGTAATGGTGCTACAGCCACATGAAGCAGAGAGTTGGCTGAAAGCTGCTCAGGATTTTCTGTTTCTTCCACATGGGGTGCAGGCTATTGGCAGTGCTGGGGACCAATGCTTCAGTAAAATTCCTCTCAGCCAATCTAGGGTTAAACAGTGAATATTTACAAAGATAACTGCATCCATTATTGCATCTTTGTTGCGTGCTTATGAGGTGTCCTGGTGGGCACCTCACTCCCCCAGCTTGTAGCTGCTCTGGCAGACCTATGGCAGCTCCAGGACGATCTATTTTTAAAGGGTAAAAGGATCTTTTTAGAACTAGGGTTGGTAATATGGGCTTTGAGACCAGAAGGCTATCTAGATTTAAGTCCCAAAACTGAGTGAACAATGAGGCCTCAAGCCTAACAGTTGAATGATATGATTGCTTAAGCATAACCACCCTTTTCTGCTTCTCAGCCACACATTTAGTGTTGAATAGCATAAGCAAGAACACATGAAAAGGTTTGTTTATACTCAGTAACTACACACCTGTGATGATGTAAAGCTCAGAACTAACATCAATTACCTAAGAAGGGCACTGTCATTTTACTGCTCATTTAAACTACTTAAAGACCTTTAAAAAGACTGAAAAGGAGAGAGGAAGACAAAAAAAGTGAAGAAGGCAAGGAGGGAAAAATCTGCACATTTCTTGGGGATTAAAAAGTATGATCAGTAATAAATCCAAATCAGAAAAGCACAATAAAAACACATCAAATATACCACCAATAATGTTTTTAATTGTTTAGCTTCTCATAGTACTCATATAACAGAAGCTGATGAATCCAAACTTTCTCTAAAATTAACATGGAAAATAATATCCTGAAAGACACTTTCCCCTTTGTTCTTCCCTCTTTCTGTAGCTGTTATCATTGTGATGGTTACGATGGCTTGCTGGCCCACTTGTAGCCTGTAGCTGCTTCTGCCCCATGCAGCCTCTCTAAACCTGGCTCAGGTGAGGCCCAGGGCTGTCCTGGAGGAAACGGGCCTGGTAGTCTCAACAGATGCTCAAGTGTTTGTTGTTCAAACACATTTTATACTACAAACTGATTCTTAGGAAATGAATATGGTTAATACCAGCATTGGCACATCTGATGCATTTACAATACAGCACCAATAAATACAATTATAGAACATAATAATCAGATTAAACTGTAACAAAAATAGTTAGGACTCCTGTTAATGCTTATACAAATAAGCAAATTAAAAAAGTATTCTTTGATTCTTTTGAAATCAAAGTTTATGTGAAGGCACAGATTTAAAATAGTATTAAAATTTTTTTAAAGGCTCATAATATTAAAAGATGTCTGGCAAAACAGACCTATAAAAAGTGACATACCGCTTCAAAAGAGGAAATATAGTTTGAAAATCAATCTAGAAAGTTCTAAATGGTTAGCTTCATTCTTATTTAACAACTCAGAAAAGCTCTAATAAATATAGCTCAGAAAAGTGAGTGACAAAATGCTCTGCATTATTCCTTCACTCTGCCCTTCTCTTGATAAAAGGGATTCTTCATTGTTTATGATCCCATCACAGGACACACACACACACACACACACACACACACACACCCCTTGTAGATTCATCTTCTATTGGGACTTTGCTTGCCTGGTGAACGCTGTTTCTTTTCTTCTCACTTGAGTTATTACACACTTTCACACTCATGCCTCATTGCCATGGATTTCATTTTTCTAGAACCTGAAGATAGAAACTGTGGTGGCCTGCTGTGGAGCTGTAACTAGCAGGCATTGCCTGCTAGAGTTAAAAGAGAGCTGTAACAAAACAGGCTCTGCCCACCATGATTATAAGAGCAGAAAAACTAGTATCAATGTAACCTAGCAGGCAGCACAAGATGTTACTCTCCAGAGAACCAGGAGAATCCAACTTCAAGCTGAAGAGCTGAGGGACAGCGCCCAGGCCCAGAGTTCAGGCCCCACAACTGACAAAAAAATTAAAATTAAAAAAAAGGGCTGGGAAGGTGGCTCAGTGGTAGAGCACTTGCCTTGCATGCATGAGGCCCTGGGTTCCATTCCTCAGCACCACATAAGCAAAAAGAAAAAAGCCGGAAATGGCGCTGTGGCTCAAGTGGTAGAGCACTAGCTTTGAGCTGAAGAGCTGAGGGACAGCGCCCAGGCCCAGAGTTCAGGCCCCACGACTAGCCTCCCCCTCCCCCCCCACAAAAAAAAAAAAGCAACCATGCAATGGCACCAACACCACCTGCTGCAGGTCACTGGATTTACCACCCCAGCCAGGCCTTCGCGCCAGCACTCTTCCTGGACTGGAACCCATGCTTGCCACTTTAGCAGTCAGAGTAGTTGGCTATTGAGCATTTGTTTTAAGGAAAAAGAAAAACAAAGAAAAAAAATAGCCAAACAATTTTTTAAATGAATAGCAAAATGCTACAAAAGATTAAATGCCTTCAATATCAATATACACAAAAAGTGTAGCGTCCTCTCAATGTCTAATCCTTAAATATGCATAAAAATCTTATCAAAACTTTAAAATATAATCTTGTTTCCCTTTATCACAGTTATCAAATACTGGTTGGCCAATATAAGATATTAAACAGATGCCAAGAGACCCAAGGCTGTAAGAAAATGGTGCTCCAGCTTTCACATGAGTCATAGGACACACCAGGGCTGGAGTCCTGCCAGTGCTGCCTTCAAACAGCTCCGAGGTCTTGAATAATTTATTTACCATCCCTAAGCCTCAATTCCACCATCACTGGTAATTTCCAAACGTGTTCCAAAGATCATTAATCTCATAAATAAAGTCTGTGGTCAAATGAAATAAAAAAACCTATAGACTCACAATACATTAATATCCTTAAAAGCTTTAAAGTCCTGCAATTAATTAATTTTGTATGACTCTTTGTTGAATTTGTTTACTAACACTTATTAGTATTCTGTACTTTTTGGAAAACATTAGTCCAGCATATATCAGATGGCTCCCAGCACTGACAGTGGTGAAATGTATGAACAGTAATGCAGTCTTTCTTAAGAAAGGATTTAGCATTTTGATATGGAGAAGGTACCTGGGTACCTGTTCATGCTTACTTGTCCCTTCAAGAACTTTCCATTGTTCTTAATTAGTCTACATTCAAGGAGAGTGGCAATAACTATCATTGATTCCGGAAGCCCACCTATAGTACAACTAGTAGCTGAATTTGCCAAAAATAATAAATTCTCTTTAATACAGGTTAATTTTCCTTTCTAGTGTGTGTTTTTTTGTCCATAGTAAATGCTTCTTCCACTGATTATCAGAACTGTAATAAGCTCCTTGCCATTTACCCACTTCCTTGACCAAAGTGAAGTCAACCTGTTGGTAGACTGTCAGTCTGTAGACTAAAGAGTTGCTCTTCCAAGAAGGCACCTCCAAGGCCATACTGTTCTT